TTAAGTTTGGGTAGAAGTGCATTTCAGTGTTATCAATGTCCGTTTGGTATTCTGAGTCTGGGAATAGCTCCGTATGGTGACTCTATAGTTGGGAGAGCGATTAGAAGTGAATTCGGAGGTCTGTGGATCGTTTTGGAATCATTTGGCTAAAGATAGAAATTTGAAGATTTTTGAGAAGTTTGCCCGAAGTGGACTTTTTGATATCGGGGTCGGAATTTGATTCCGAAAGTTGGAGTAGGTCCGTGATGTTGAATATGACTTGTGTGCAAAATTCGGGGTCAGTCGGACGTGATTTGCTAGGTTTAAACATCAAAAGTAGAAGTTTGAAGTTCTAAAGTTCATAAAGCTTGGATTGGAGGTCGATTCATGATTTTAGTGTTGTTTGATATGATTTGAGGCCTCGAGCAAGTCCGTAATGTGTTTTGGTGCTGGTTGGTATGATTAGTTGGGGTCCCGGAGGCCTCGGGTGGATTCCGGGTGGTTAACAGATCGAAAATAGAATTTTGGAGAAGGCAAAAGTTGTTGGTTGCTGGTGTAACCGCACCTGCGAGGCTAGGGCCACAGGTGCGGAGCCACATGAGCAGTCGTCGTGCCGCAGAAGCGGTTAGAAGTGAAGGGCTCAAAGGACGTAGGTGCGAAGGAAATCCCGCACCTGCGAGATCGCAGATGTGGCCGGTGCGGCGCAGAAGCGGGCTGGGGAAGCAGGAGGAGGACCGCAGAAGCGGTATTGTAACCGCACCTGCGGAATCGCAGAAGCGGGCAAGTGATCGCAGGTGCGAAAGGACTGGAGGCAGTGGGTGTTTTAAAAATCCGGATTTGGCCATTTTCTCTCAGTTTTCTCTTGGCTTGGGCGATTCTTGGAGGGTTTCAAGTGGGGGTTTTCATCATCAACGATAAGGTAAACTATCCCCCTTATCTTGAGTTAAATACATTGATTATGTACGGATTTAAGCATGAAATTTGTAGAAACTTGGGGTGTGAGGGAAAACCTAGAAAATTGATATTCTTGGATTTTGACCACGATTTTGGGTATGAAACTAAGAGAAAATCATATAGTTGGGTTCGTGAGTTTGTGGGTAAAATTTATCTTCGAAAAATTTAGGAATCCGGGCACGTGGGCCCACGGGTAATTTTCTCAACTATTCGATCGGGGTTAGGAATTTTTATAAATCGGGTTGTAATGAGTAATTGAACGTATATTAATGGATTTGCATAATTATTGGCTAGTTTTGGAGCATTGTGCATCGATTCGAGTCTTCGAAAGACTGTAGAATGTCAGTTATGGATCTTCGGAGTGAGGTGAGTCTCCTTTCTAACCGTGTAAGACGGAATTGTCCCCATAGGTAAGTTAATTGGTTATATGCTCCTATTTGTGGGGGCTACGTATGCACAAGGTGACGATGGTCCGTGCGTGGCTACTATTATATTATTGTCCGGGTAGTCTAGGACCCAAAGCATGTTGTACTTGGAAATATTTGTAATCCTATTGACGGTTTAAATTGCTTAAATTCTATCGAATTTATAAATGAATTTCTAAATGGATTAAACTTCATTTTTCTTAAATCGTTAAAAAAAGAGGAGAATTTGGATTTTTCCTTGGATAGTTGTTCCCTAATGATGTCTTGATTAACTGTTTGAATATGCAATTCTGTGTGTACCTGCGTCGCATGTATGATTCGCGAGTAGGGTGGTTGTTTGTTTTATGTTGTCTGCGTTGCATGAACGATTCGCGAGCGGGGAAATAGATGCATATATGGTTCACGTTGTTCAACCCTCGGCAGTGCACATTTTACATTTATGTTGGATCGGGCCATACGACCTCGGCATGATTTGCGCATGCTTGTATTGCTTGCCTTGAGATTTCTTGATATTGATATTTGCTCTCCCCGACTTGAGATAATTGTTAACTAATGGATTACGAATTCGGAGAGTTGAATAAAAAGAAACTTTTACTTGTTCGTGGCTAATTTTAAATTACTGTCGTTCTTAATAAATCCATGATTACTCGCATTAAAAATAAATTATTATTGGACCACTAGTAAGTGTCGAAGTCGACCTCTCATCTCTACTTCTTCGAGATTAGATGGGATACTCATTGGATACACGTTATTTCCATACTCACACTACACTTGCTGTGTATTTTTGTTTCACAGGTTCATATGTGGCTAGTGACTTAGTGGCATAGCGGCATGGTTGATACGGAGACTTAGGTGAGCTGCAATTATCGAGACGACCCGCAGCCAGCAGAGTCTCCTTCAGAGTATTATATTATAGTTTCATTTCTGTCCACTTATATTCCGGACAGTTACTGTATTTTATTTCATTCCCTAGTAAATGATCATGCACTTGTGACACCGGGTTTTGGAGGGGATCACGTGATTTTTCAGTAGTTAAACTTTGTAAAGACATTCTCATTTATTCAGTGGAGTATATTATTTATTATTCATTTGTTTAAAGAAAATGATTTCAAAACAAAAAAATGAGAAAATGCTAGTAAACTGTGGTTGGCTTGCCTGACAGTGGTGTCAGGCGCCATCACGACTCTTAGTAGATTTTGGGTCGTAACAGGTACCATTAGAATGCTAGCATGATAACTATTATTGTAGGCAGATTCTATGAGCGGCAAATGACCATCCCCTACCCTTGTGTTGATACCCAATTTGTCCTACCTCTCTTCTAATTAATTTTTTGACGCTCTCTAGTCATTAATAATCTAATGCTCTATTTTTAGTTATTTATTACTATTAATACTACAATTTATTATAATTATAATTATTGAAGATATTACTACTATCACAAAAGTTATTACTTTTTTATTAGTACTATTAGCATTATTATTAATATTACCGTTAATATGACTATTATTGAATTAATTACTTATTTAAAATGTAATATTATGTATGCTCAAAGTATTTTTATTGAGTCCAATTTATCAAGATATGAGAGCCCAATTAAATTGATTTGAAGAAGGGGAAGATCATGATTTTTGGCCCAAATGAGTCCTAAAGGATATTTTCGGACTAGCCCAAACAAACCCAAATCTGCTAATCCCTTTAAGCCCTAAAACATAAACTCATTCAAGGGTTCCTAATCCCATTCCTGCTAGCTCCCCCCCC